TGGTCAGACACCAGATTCCCACCGGCGATGCGGCACCAAGCCGGGAACGGTATCAGCAGGTACCACTGACCCTTTATTCAGAGGTCCGCACTTTGTTGAAGGGGATTGCTGGATGGGGGATCATCCTGGAGAGTAGCAGCTCCTGGGCAGCCCCAAGTGTCCTGGCACATAAAAAGATGGGAGCATGGAGGTTTTGTGTCGATTACAGGAGATTAAATAGCATGACGAAGAAGGATGCGTTTCCCCTGCCACAGATTGAAGATTCTCTTACCAGTCTGACTCAGGCGGCTTTGTATTCTACGTTGGACTTGGCAAGCGGCTATTGGCAGTTGCAGGTTGAGGAGAGGGACCGGGAGAAGACTGCCTTTACTACCCTGTTTGGGCTCTTCAAATGGGACCGTATGCCCTTCTGTTTGTGCAACGCCTCCACGACTTTCCACCGGTTGATGCAGCGGTGCCTTGGGGGGCAGTTAGTCGATACCTTGGTTTATCCTGTTAACCTGCACCCCCCACTAGGGTCTCACAACTGAAAATGACCAAACTGAATACAGCTCCTGAGAACATTGTACAAAGGCACAATTGAGGTCTCTTTAGAAAGAAGACACTTGGGACTATACTAACTATCAGAGTTAATAATGCTAAAAAGTTATAAAAGTTGAAGTCCCTCAAAAAAATTTGCATTACAAATGTTTTATTATTTCATGTTCAAATATATAAAAATAAACCTGAAGCAAGCCAGGTAAGTAAAGGATTTAAAGCCACAAGTCTCACCAGTTTATATTTAAAATATGAGGAATATATAATGAAAAATGGGGATCCTGTGAGCTTTTTTCGAAGACTAAGTCAGTTCCCTTTCTCCCTCCTGCCTGAGGCACATCCCATAAACTTACATCCCCAAAGTCAAGTGATTTATTATATCAAGGGATTTATTTGCACACCCAATAAAAATATCAATAAAATATTGTGAAATTATATAGCAAAACACTAACACCTTTTTAGTCATTTCTGGTCATGCCAAATAGCGAAGCAGTCATGCTTTGGCTGAAAGCACAACGCTGTAGAACAAGTCTTGCACTCACGCCTTCCACTGATGCTGTCTGAATCAAAGCTCCCTGGTAAATGGCGAGTCTCATCTTTGTGGGATGGATGAGATGAAGGAACATGAGCAGACAACAACACAGTAAGTTCCTCAACAACACATTCTCTGAATTGTTTCTGTGTCAGTGGCTTCTGGTTCTTCATACAGGCCATTTGACATTGGAGTATAAAGGCATTTACAATGGCTATATGTCCACGAAGTGGTAGAAGATGGTTCGATACCACTTCCTTGTTTTGTGTGAGACTGAGTAGTAGCCAACGAGTGCATCCGAGACATCTACTCCACCCACGCACCTGAATAGAAATAGAATAGGTCATATTTTAGAATACATTTTCAGAAATGTACTTGATATTCAATATAGATGAAATTTAAGTAAAATTTATGCTACTGAATACATTTTACAAACCTGTTATATTCTGCAACAAAGTCTGGAACAGGTACATCCAAGGTTTCCCACTGTCCATTTCCACCTTTCACTTTCCTCTTTACAACACTCCCTCCGGTGCCTCTGTGAATGGTGGAGCACATCTGTACCGGTCTTGTGTCCTTCCATTCCATTAACAGCAAGTCTCCTTCTCTCATCCAACGATATGTGCCACGAGGAGCTTTTTTGGGAAGCTTGTTCATGGCGGTTTTAGAGTATCCTATCCTACACATCTATCCTAAACATCCAGCCCAGATGTTTTTTTTTTCAGGAGATCTCTAAACAGTGCTGGACTAGTGTAGAAGTTGTCAACAAACAGTCTGTAGCCAGTTTGATAAGAAGCCAACATCTTCATCAACCAGTGCCATGAGACTCATAACTCAGCCCTTTGTTCTGTGGAATGAGTGCTGCAGGTGATTTACCCTCATACACAAAAGAGTCCTCGCAAGATGGTGCACAGAGTCAGCAAGCACAAACAGTTTATATCCCCACTTTGTTGGCTTCAGAGTTTTCATACACTGTTTTAATCCATTTATAGCTTTTGATGCCACCATCCTCTCGTCAATGGCAATGTTCTGGAAAGATGGAAAAAGTTCTTACATGCAACTCTCAGTTCCTGATTCGTTGGCAAAAAATAAATAAAATAAATGCGCATACGTCCATGTCTTTTGTTTGAAATGGAAATAATATAGCTGCTAGACCTATCTAAAAAAAAAAAGGTTCGACTATCAGTCAAATATAGCAAAATCTAATGAATCAGATTTGACTATAAAATCCTTTGTCGAAAACAGCCCTAGTGGTCAATACACTTCACAATTCCTTATTCAAATCAGTGTAAGACATGAGCCGTTTCTCAACACCAAGTACGCAGACTTCGGACTTGCGTCCTTGGTAGTTCAGACTTGCAAGTTCGACTCAGGAGAACGAACTCCCAAGGATGCGAGGACGCAAGTCCGGTTCTTCAGCAAATGGAACAGAAGAATACAAAAAACCCATGTCAGGGGACCTTTAAATGTATACAGGTATGTGAGATTTATATGTGAGACCTATTTATATCCCTGTATTAAATGTGTCCATCATTTGCCTGAAGAAGACCCAGTGGGGTCGAAACGTTGCTTTTTTATTAAATATGGGAGCATAAGCAGTGTTGTGGACATTACTTCTTTTATTACATTAGTTCTTCTTGTCCTGTACCTGCCAGATGGTGGGATGTGCACACAACTACTCTTTTTTCACAAGTGTGGAGAATGCTTTGCTGAAGCAGTGGTGGTAGCAACCTACCTCCGTTCTCTCTCTGCCTGAGTCCCGAAGAGAACAGCTGCGCTGGTGAGCAACTTACCTCCATTCTCTCGGCCTGAACGCCGAAGAGAACAGTTGTGCTGGTGAACAACCTACCTCCATTCTCTCGGCCTGAAGTCCGAAGAAAACAGTTGTGCTGGTGAGCAATCTACCTCCATTCTCTCAGCCTGAACCCCAAAAAGAACAGTTACGCTGGTGAACAATCTACCTCCATTCTCTCAGCCTGAATTCCCGAAGATAACAGTTACGCTGGTGAGCAACCTACCTCCATTCTCTCTCTGCCTGAACCCCCGAAGAGAAGAGTTGTGCTGGTGAGCAGTCTACCTCCATTCTCTTGGCCTAAACCCTCGAAGAGAACAGTTATGATGGTGAACAACTACCTCCATTCTCTCTGCCTGAGCCCCAAAGAGAACAGTGACGCTGGTGAACAACTACGTCCATTCTCTCGTCCTTCCGATTTATATGAAGGAACTTGCCCACAGAGAGTCGAATCAGAGTTTTAAATCAGTAAAGAACTTTATACTGCACTCAACTGTTTTCTGTCTGTCTGTTGTGTACCTGTGGTGTCGGCTCCTCTTGGTCAGATGCAAGTTAGCGGTGCGACCGGTCATCTTGTGCCCACCCCGGCCTGCACCGGTGACACTTTCTTGATTTTGTTGCATTTTACAAAATGTTCTTTTTTTATTTTTATTTATTTAACCTTTATTTAACCAGGAAGTCCCTAGAGACTGACATTTCTTTTCCCAGGGAGATGGCCAAGATGGCACACCAAGATGACACAATTTAAAGGGTACCTATTATGGGTTTTTGAAAATTGCCCTTCATGTAGTGTGTAACATAGATCTAAGTGAACGAAAACATCCTGCAAAGTTTTAAACATGAAAGTTCACCGTATACAAAGTTATTGTCTCTCAAAAGTGAATGAATGAATCGTTCGACGAATGATGCTTTTCCTTTGTCTAGTTGATGTCAACTTGACAAGTTATTTGAATAAGAAACGCCCACTTATTGCACTCGGAGACGCCAGGGAAAACCGGAAAACAATCATGTCGACGAGACGCTGTGTTTTGAAATGAGACGCAAAAGTGAACTTTTTTCATCTGCCAAGTGAGGAGCATTTGAAGACTAAGTGGCCACAGTTCATATATACAAGTATACCACACAAGTATAGCCCAAACCTTGTTTTGTGTTCACGTCATTTTGAAGATGATTGCTTCACAAACCTAAATGCTATAAAGTCACTTGTGGATTCGCGAGCAGGCTGATACTGAAGGAAGGATCAGAACCGAGATTATTTGGATCAGCTTCCTTCTCAGAATCATAACCTGTAAGTATTATTAATATTAATTGTTGCTTTTATGTTTTATGTATCATGCTCAATAATTATTTGGTGTGTTGTACGCACAGTGCACAGCTTCTAGGTCTTCAATGTCAATTGTATTGAAATACCTGTATGTGAAGTGTTTGTCGTTGTTAATGGAGTTGTCATAAAGAATATAGCAGCTAGCTATAACGTTACCCACATGAGCACCTAAAAAAAATCACTAATTAATTCGTCTTGATACTTACGTTACACTGAACGACATCAAAATTACTCTGATTACAGAACGTCATTTATCAGACATTATTACTCCAATCAATTATGACCTGAATTGCCACAACTGTACATTGACACTTACCATTGGGAAAGGTCCTGCTCCAGTCGTGTTTGTGTTTCTGGTTCATCTCTGGACGCCGACGGTTCCTCTTCGTATTCTGGTTCGAATTGATACGGCAATGCCATGTCTGTTCATACACTGTTTACGGTAGTTTTCAATAATAAACCATAACCCATTTAAGATGATGGGCGTTCCGTTTCCGACAATCGCTGCACAGAGAATACCAATCACAACTGGCTAGGTCATCTGACCAATCACCGCCGATTAGCGTCACGCAAAGGCGGGTTTTGGAAAAAGGACTCGCTAAACGATTCATGTGGGAGTCGGTGAGCAAATCAGGTAAAAATAAATGCATATTATAAGACAACAAGAGTGTTTTTTGTCATTGCATGTGTGACCGGTTAAGAGTTTCTGAGTTGTTTTGATGGGAAGACACACCCATCGGAAATGAGCCACGGCACGATATTGAATACACCTGTGTGGCTCAATTACGGAGGTTTGTTGGGTCCCGGTGGCTTTATAAAAAGTTTGTCTAAAGGCACCATTGTCATTCTTCTCCGTACTGCGTGTAACAAAAGTCTAAATGGTGATATTTCCTGTAGCTATTCCCTGGTGAGTCATTTGACTTATTGCTCTTGTCCAGTTATAGATCACCGTCTAAATATGTGTTGTCATTAGGGATGTGCGTGCAGTGGCGAGCGCAGGTTGCATAAAGCTTACTGTAGCCTAATTGATCTTTCACTTTGAGGTAAGACAAATTATTGGGGTCTTTCTTAATTCATGAAGGGGAAACTCTCTAGAAATTGATACACTATTTTGTGCTGTTACTGTAGCCTATCATTTCAGGTGTGGTCCAGAGCGCTAGCTGCTGTTTTCTTAGGGGTTCTATACTCGTGGTGCCGCTGCTTGTCGGCTGGCTGTAGTGATTGGACGTTCGCGGTTTCGAACCGCTGTAGTGACCGAGCTCTTTCACAATCTCTGCCCTGACTGGTCTGTATGAAGGTTGCTGAATTATTGGGCATGCGTGTTTTATATGGACTATTAAAGTGAACTAGACCAACGAGAAGTTTGGTCTGTAACAGCAGCCGGAACAATTTTAAAGATTAATTGTGTTGATGTAATTTTTTTCCGTTCTTTGATCTGGAACACTGTTTGCCAGGTACGTCCATGTCCACATGTGAATGATTTGACCTGTGATTTGAGGCTTAGCTGAAGAGGAGCGTGTATTTGTTCTTTTTTTTTGTTTGTTTTTTTTTTGAATTCTTTATCACTTGCTTTGATTTTGTTCACTGATTGTTGTGTGGTTTGTCTCTTCAGCTATTGCGGATGAATTACGGTCTCTTATTTGCTGTGGGTATTTAATTGGTAATTGTGTATGAGACCTATTTTTAGATGTTTTAAAATTAATGTCCCTTGTACAAAATAAACTTTGTATACTTTTTGAAGTCACGTCTCTGTCTTTGACGCCATCTGAACCAGCAGGGTCCTTCTTATTTTTGTAATTCCTTTTGGGGTTTTTTTTTTTTTTTTTTTTTACTTTCCTGGGTGGAGAAGTAACCTAGGTGGCGTAGTCGGTTTTGTAGTACATTTAGCCAAGGGTTACACATGCTTGTAAAACTGTTGTTGGGGACTCCCAGAACAATATTAAGAACATTTTAAATGCCATAATAGGTACCCTTTAAATACAAATTCAACAGTCAAAAACAAACAAACGAAAAACCAGTAAAAAGAACTTGTAAAAGAAAAACCTTTCTGGAAATGGAATTGTAGAAATACTATTGCTTCCTGTTTTTTTTTTTTTGTGTGTGTGTGTGGCCAATCGTAGCAGGAGCATAGAGATATTTCACAAATTACAGATGAACTGCCATCGCTCACTCTAAATGAACAGGAATTAAGTGACCGGTATAGACAGCGGTCTGTCAGCACTCGCAGTTAGACGTTTGTCATTCTGCTTTGAGATTTTTTTTTCCAGCTAGCTATATGACACATCACACTCAACTGAGATAAGCGTAGACTTTAAATTACGAAGATAATATTCCCAATTTGGTGTTCCCCTCGAGTAAGATTCATTTAGATGAATGAATATTTCAACACATCACCTGCCTCAATGTGCTCTGGATTGATTAAATGTTAAAAGTGAAAGAGTCAGGCAGTGAGCTGTGATTTAAAGCCAATAAGATCACAAAAAGCACTCTGCTGTTGAAGAATAGTCTGTTCTGATTTGGTTGGTTAGAATATAAGAGAACATGTAGGCTTTGTTACTTTATAATGTTCTATGCTTGTTTGTCGTGATGGTTTTATGTATGGATTGCAGAAAGTCTATTGTCTGCACAAAGATTTTACCCTCGGGTACTAATAAAGACACCTTGACCTTGAATGTTACACTCCATGTTGAGCAGATTAAAGGGGAAATGAAGCAGTGAATCAAGTTTACATGATTTACAAGATGGATTTCCAATATAATCAACAATTATATAAGAAACATTACAAATGTAAACATTTAGAAGAAAACAAGAAAAAAACTTTGTATCTTTCGCCGCCAGGGCGCCGCCATTGTGCAGGTGACGTCACGTCACAGGGTTTGTTGGCTCAAGTTTAACAGGCTCTGGGCATTGAAAATCGCGACATCAAACTGTGTTTACACCAGTGTTTTGACCGCGGACGACTAATGTTAGGTACAGTCATTAGACAAAAAGACGAGGTCTCATGTTATATGTTGACAAACTGCACATAGAAACATTGTTTGCGATGTCTGCCGTCATATTCCCGTCTCGTCAACAACATGTAAGTTAGCATGTATTTGTAAAAGGGGAAATGAAACGTCCATATTTTCACACTGGTAGTGCTAGTAGCAACAGCCTACATACTGTATACTAGGAAAACATCCTTCAGGGAAAGCATCTCCGCTTCCACACGTCTAACTCCCGGCACAGCATGGTAAACGTGCGCGCCGGTGATGCAGAATTGACCATGCAATACATGCTCAAGATCAACCTCTTGACAACAGATGGACTCTGACACGGAGGGCATCGCAGTACAACAGCCACACTGACACCTGGTAAGTTAGCGTTGCAAACCAGCTCTTCACCCCAAACCACCACCAGCTGTTCTATATAGCAACGTAACTTACATGGTGTTGACGAGACGGGAATATGACGGCAGACATCGCGAACAATGTTTCTATATGCAGTTTGTCAACATATAACATTAGATGTCGTCTTTTTGTCTATTGACTGTACCTAACATTAGTCGTTTGCGGTCAAAACACTGGTATAAACACAGTTTGATGTCGCGATTTTCAATGCCCAGAGTCTGTTAAACTTGAGCCAACCAACCCCGTGACGTCAACTGCACAATGGCGGCGCCCTGGCGGCGAAAGATACAAAGTCTTTTCTTTTTTTCTTAAAAATTTTTACATTTGTAATGTTTTTTTATATAATTGTTGATTATATTGGAAATCCATCTTGTAAATCATGTAAACTTGATTCACTGCTTCATTTCCCCTTTAAGACTCTTAATGGTGTGTGGAGGCCTTTAAAGAGAAGGTCTCTTTGACCTTTCTGTTTAGCTACAGTAGATTAGATGCATTATTAATGGTCATCTCCGCTGAAGTGGACAGTTATGAAAAGATCAAAGATGCTGTCATTCACTTACGAAAAAGTGAGGCTTCTATAGAGTATATTAAAGGGATAACTCCACTTTTTTGTGGAAATAGGCTCATTTTACAACTTCCGAAAATGGTAAAACTCAACTGTTTAACTCTGAGCGAGTTGTAAAATGAGCCTATTTCCAAAACGTTTCCATCTCCATGTTCATATTTCCATCTCTTTTTGAAGGGCTATATCATGCTTCCATTAGTTTCCATGTTCTGCTGCCCATTGGAAAATGTTATTGCACACTGCTTTTTAGCTCTAAAGAATCAATCCTTAGCAAAATATCCTTAGAAATAAATAGACACAAATGAGACTACGCTTGACATACAGCACAGTGAGAGTATACTAATTGTGGATAGCATAGCTCAGATAATTTGAAGAATTTAATAATTTTCAGTTCATATCAAAATGACCTGACCTTTTATTGAGGAATTAAAGATATCCACCAAAACTCTACCAATGGTTCCCAGCCTTTGTGATGCTCATTTTATTTACATTATTCATAGATCATATTTGCATTATATTGTCCAGTACTGGGCTAAAATCTTACCTGATCAACATGCATTTCTGTTGAGGGTCTCAGGAGACGTGCAAGTGCCATTGCATAGTCCTTAGCCATGAACAAACTTTACCTAATTTTTTTTTTTTTATAAAGAAAGCTCATTTTCTCTTTCAATGCACCTTCACCTAAACGAATTCCCTCTTTTAGAGTGACTTTAATGGATAAATTACGAGTGTCAAGTGCCAAAAGAGAATTCTGCCTCTGTAACCACTGGACTAATTCAAGCGTATAAGTGCTGTGACAAAGCAAATCCATCTCCTCTGATGGGTTGGTTCCTGATTAAAATACGCTTTTAACTCACTTAGATTTATCACAATTATCCTTCGAGGTCCAACCAGGGTTTGATGGTCAGTGTCACCGATCTGCAAACCTAGTCCCACAGCGGACCTGCATTAGCCAGAGCCAAGATGAACCGAGTGTTTCAGAGGTTAATTAAAAAAAAACTGCTCTTACAACACATAAACACGGTGATAATCCAATGTGAAACAATCCTATGAGACTGGCTCTGTGGCGGATAAGGAGAGGTACTGAGCTGTGGAAAAGGGAAATTATTTTGTCCTGCATTGTGCGTTAAACGGTCAGCCATGCGCAGAGCTGATAACAATTTAATGCCCGGAAATTTGAGATTGGCTTCTGAACAAACTGGAGTCTGGCAAATTCAATCAACAGTTCAAAGACCTCAGGTTTAGGCAGCATGTAGGGCAGAAATTTAATATAGATTTATAAATAACATTTTAGACCTTGTGATTCCTCCAAAAGTGATATCTGATAATTTGGAAAGTCTGGTTTGCAGATATGGCTCACTTACCTCCTTCAGAATTAAGTTTTTAATAAGGTTTCTTCAAATCCCTAACCTTGAAGTTGTTATGAAACAGTATAGTGATCATTATTTCTGTTCGTGACATATATCTGAGTGAAACAACTTCTCGGGTGAGAAAAAAAAATAAATAAAATTTAATTAAAAACCCTTATCTTAAAGTTGGCATGCAAAGGAAAAATGTAAAGTGGGAATTTTGTCCGGTAGGAATTTATAGGATCGTTGGATCAAGAAAGAAGGGACGTTGATGCTTTTGACCAAATATTACAAAGGCACATGAATTTAAAAAATAATGTGCACATATAATTTATTTAGAATAAACACTGCAACATTCCATTAAAAAAAAATCACAATTCTCAAATGACTTTAAATATGAGAAAGTAAAATCTCTGTACTGAAGGCTAATAAGCATATGGTGGTTAAATTCATGATGAATTAGGACTTTACGAATTCAGAATGAAGTGGATTGACACTAATCATTTCTGAAATTATGTGTATGCAGTATATCTGTCTCTTAATCTTTTAAATACACGTTAAATGTCCTATCTTGATGTATAATTGATGAAAAAACACTAATTAGTTTCCATGCCCTGTTTTACTCAACATAAAAGCCAACCTTTCAGTAATTTAGAGGGTGCCACCCAAGGGAATGAGGCGTTTTGCTCTGTGATTGACAGTGAAATGTATCCAAAGTGACTGAGACTTATAAATTATGAGGCAATCATTTAATCTTTGCAATGGCTGTTTAAAAAAACTCTTAAGTTTTGCTATGAACTGGCTGAAGATTCATTGTTGTTTTTAGCTTACTCAAAGAAAGATAAAAAAAAAATCATTTAAGTGATTATCAAATGTATT